ACCTTAGGATAAAGATTTCTTACAAGCAAATGAATCAGACATACCTCTAGCTATCCTAAAACTGCTATTCCACCCACTTCCAGTCTAACACCTCTATATTCCCCAGCCTACTAGTTTCACTGCATATGTATGTGCTAGTAATTTTCCTTTTCTATGCATTCAAACTGATCCTTGGAATTAATTTTAAGGTTGTAATCAGGACTATGTAGTATGTCTCTGATCTCTTGTGATTTCAGTTACAGCTGTTGACTGACCCCTGAATTTCCTGATAAACCTATTACCACCACTAAATTATACTTTCTCATTTGTCCAATTGCTCTCTCTTCTTTCCTTCCTTCTCCCTCACCACTAAATCACTGCTGGAAGTTAATAATCCAATTTTTGGAACTGGTTCTGTTGCTGGGGGTTAATGTTTTCAGTTCTTGTTAAGTGAATTTGGAACAAATGTGAGTTGCTGTTTCATCTGCATTTGCATCAGGTTGCCTCTGTGGAAAATCTGGGTTGGGGAAAATCTGTAAAACTAACTTTGATATGAAAGGGTTTCTTTAATTGACATCTCCACTTTGGAATGCTGCAAAATTGACAGCTATGATGTTTCTAGTTCTTCAAACTTTTTCTATTACAAATCTTAAAGCAAAATGATAAATTGAGTGCTTCGTAGCCATATAAGCCATGTTCCCAGCCCAAGTTTTCCCTGTAGAAAGATGGGCCTTTCTCTGCATATAACTGCCATGTATTTCCCTTATCTACAAATGAAGGCATTAATGACTCAGTACCAGAACCACCTGGATGTTCTATACATCCTTTTTGGGAAAGCAGACATTCTTCTGTAATGAGAATCATCAATCTCATATAACATAAATCTTCCTATTTGAGCCCTAATGAAGTATTTTGAGCATGTGCCTGACACTCTTTAAAATATGTGTCCTGTCTGAATGTTGAAAATGGTATTTCTGTAAATGCCAACAGCCATATCTTGGCAATCGCATACAGGACTTTTGTCAGACTGACACTTTTGGTTAAAATATGCAGTCTAGAGTCTGTAAAGATACCATCTGTAGGTAAAGGCACTTTTCTGAATGCAAGATTATGCCCACTCAACTGTCTGTATTGCCGTCCTCACTCAGGTAAGTTTGTTGCATTTCTGAGAAATGTGCATTTGATCTGGAAATAAGACTAAACCAACAGATTGCTTTGTTTGCATGGTTAGTTGGATACATTCAGTAATTCATGATTGTTAGGTATATTCTGTATGAATGCCTTGATGCCCAAGCACATGCTCTGCCTGTTGAGTGAATGCGTAATGGGAAGACAAGCTAAGCAACCAGAGGAGTAGGATAGGGTCTTGTTCCTGAGGCTAATTTTCCCTTTTTGGCCTTGCAGCCACAAGCCTATCTTGTCTATAGGCGCTGTCATTTTTCTAACTGAGAGCTCTATGTTCGCAAGGCATGTTGTCATTTTTAACATTCCCCCTTTGCCTTTCAGGTGAGACCCAGGCTGAAAGGTCAGGGTGAGTTTTGATAGATTGTTCAGAGATGCATGGCTCTAGTTGTTGACTGGTAGGTTAGAGAAGAAGATGGATGAATGGATATGTGTTTTGAAGTATGACCAATAGGTAGCACTGAATGTGTCTTTTGGGGAAGTGACACATGTCCCCTTTCTTAAAGTTCAGATCAAGTTTTTTGTGTTGCCATAGAATTGAATTCGTTACATATAACAGGAAATGGCCTGCTGTGAGACGCTGTTCTCCTGGAAGCAGAAAATGTTGACCTCAGACTTGCCATACCAGGTACATGGGAAGCAGTGAAAGTATTAAAAGAGAGACAGAATTTTAAATAATCTTTTTCTTAGAAGCTAGCTTCTCCATGCTTAAGAAATTCACAGAAAGAAGCAACAGAAAGCATTAGTACCTGTTGTCTAAAGGAGGAAACTCCTTCCTCCTGTGAGTTTCATGCCTGTAAAGACGAAAGAACATCCTTTTAAGATAGAAAACCCTGAAAATTGATCAAGAAGGCATGAGAACCTTTTTTATTGATACTTCTAATTTTGCCCTTAGCACCCTCCTCAGAGATTGCACTCTTTGGCAGTTTTGCGGTACTGCTTCTCTTTGGACATGCAAAACTGAATATCTCTGTTTTGTATCTGGAGTGAAGGAGAAAAAGTACATAAAACCCAGATACATGATGCACCAAAGGAAGGTAAATCAGTGGTTGAACTGTGTTCCTGCATTTGCCCTTGTATGCTGCTCAGCTGTCACCTGTCAGTGACTGCCTCACTTGCATGTATTACAGAAGCTCAAGTTCATTCCAGGTGCCAGTCATGTCAATCATCAAGCTCATGTCTGAGACAATTGAATAGAAACATAATGAGCATCAATAGCAAGTTGCTGTGGTGGTTCCTTTTCTAGCATAACTGGCAGTACAGATGGTTAATTGGACTTCTTGATATTTGACTGCCTATCTGCTCAGCTTCCAAGAATATTTGAAATTAGAAAGGATTAGCACACTTAGGGCACAGTCTAATGGGGTTGCCTGTAGCCCTCTGAACTCCGAAGATTATGAGCATCCTATAGAGGAGGGAAAGAGAACACAGGCAAAGATCTCCTCCCTGCTTCTCTTACCCTTCAGAAGACTTAAATGGCTCAGGCTTTTGCACCTGCAGGCTGAGACACTGCTGGAATCCCATGGACCTGCAGCCAGCATGGAAAGAATCATGCCAGTTGCAAGGGCAGGGGAAGGGCACTTCAAAGTCAGATATTCAACCTCAGTCTTGAAGTCCATTTCCAAGATCAGAGCTTGGACCCTGAATTTCCCTATGGCTGTCCAAACAGTTCTTACTGATCAAGGAATTGTACTCATACTTAACAATCCTAAATGTACTTCCTCAAAATAAATTCTCAGTTCAGTGAAGTTTGCACTCTTGTAATTATGCATAGGATTGTAACCTTACCATATAGGAGAAGTTTTGAAGGAATGAAAAATAGAACCCTATTTGCACCATAGTGCCCAGGCTTTTTTTCATTTCTATACCCGCCAGTATCATAATATTGTGCACAAAATTGTCAGAATCATGATTTATTTATTAGTTTTCCATCACTTAATCTGACATGGCAGGCAGAAGAAATCCTGGCTGAACCAGGATACTGTTCTGCTGTGTAGACAAGACCTACCTGCAGAGGAAAGGTTTATAGAATATGTTACAGTCATGTCTGGCAGTGCTTATAAAGTCCCCTGCACCTTTACTCTCATCTGAACTTTCATTTGCAAGTTGCCTGTCAGTGCAGAATCTGTACATGTAACTGGTAATTAGAGAGGAGCAGTATAAGGTCACACAAACATGCACAGTTTGGAAATTTCCTGAGTCAAGGAACAGGAGGTCAGGGGTTTAATTCCTTTTTCCTAAGGGTTTCCTCAACCTCTTGTCATCCACAACTTGGGTCATATTGCTTGTTATACGTAGATGCAGGTCATATTGCTTGCTATTATTAGATGTGGTCATTTATGCATCACTGTAATTGAGGATCACCCAGTCTGGCTTATGAAAATCCTAAAACAAACCTGATAGCATTGCTACTGCACTGCTGTACCCTGTCTGAACACCTAAATAGCAAGAACTGAAAATGCAGGCTGCTTGCTAGTAGAACATGTAAAAACACTCCAGGAGGTGGCAAGAAGTTAGTTAGTCTGGCCAAAGTCTTCTATTTTTTTCCCAAGCCATAATGTAACAACAGGGAAGGCTCCCTGCATCATTTTTATTATATAGCAGAACTCGATGAAGATCATTTTTTCTCCCTGACATATAGACTTAGGCTACAGTCTCAATTTATCCTTCTAAATAATGTAGGTGGCAGCAGTTGATTCACATTAGTTTTCCTTCTGTTCCAATGATATGAAAACTGAATTTGACCTCAATGCCTTGAAGTGGGAAGAGCGGAGACAGCAATTTCAGCTTCTGTTCACTGTGCTGTTTTCTTTAGCAAGCGGAAATGGGTTCAGACTCTGACAAGTAGCTGGGTTAATACTTTTTCTCTTGGCTCAGGTGTGTGTGTATGGATTGTGAGCAAAGGCCTTCTTCTATCACCTCTGGAATTTGAACTTCTTGAAACATCAAAAAAGTGCCTTTGCTATCATGGAAGTATGGAAGCTCTATTCTTGACACAGCTGCACAAAGGCTACTTTTATATTCATCCTGTAGCCCTTTCTTTCATTCTTAGAGCTGTGCCAGTTTCATCTACAACCTGGATGCAACCCATATTCAGGAAATTCAGGAGGAGAAAACAGATGTCAGGATTCATCCCAAGGAACAATAATCTTGTAAATGCCATTCCAGCCATATTTGTCCTTAATGTGGACTGAGTTGAGTTCAAGCCTAAACATGGTGGCTTAGATTTAATTCAAGTGATGCTATTTACAGATGCTTACATACTTGCTAATGTTATTGGTGAGAGGTCTGCTATTTAAATATGAGTAGTCTTCAAAAGACTTCTCAGGGTACACATTTTGTAATCCTGTCTATATATAGGTTTCTAAGATTATTGATTATCCATACTTCCTTGGGAAGTGCCAAGTTTCCATTTTAGAGTGTAACTGTAATTAAAGGAAGGGGAGTAGCATACAGACAGGACAATACTTGTTGGTAAAAGTCAAAGATTTACCCTGCAATTTCACCTGGGAACATCTGAATTATTTTAAGTTTCTGTGCTTGATAGACATGGATATTTTATGTAAGATGTTAATTGAAGATTTGACAGTAACCTCTTTGCCTACGCAGCTATAAATACCAGACACAGCAGAAGCCTTTTGGCAACAAGCATGGATATCCCTGTGGCTGTTTGTAAGTGAGGTTTGGTGGACCCTGTGAAAAGCGCCATGTGACAGATTTGCTACAAACACTTGTATCCTTGTGCTTTTGATGGGAGCAGAGGCACAGAGCGAGAATGTATGTTTAGTAAAGAGTTGTCATAACCATTACTGTCTTTTTCTTTTTCTTTTTTTACATAGGGGCCCTGCAAATTGAGAACAGTGAGGAGTCAGACCAAGGCAAATATGAATGTGTCGCTACAAACAGTGCAGGGACCCGCTACTCTGCTCCAGCCAACCTTTATGTGCGAGGTAAAGTTTGAGAAGGCAAGCCTCCATCCCTTTCTCCCTTCTCTTCCATGGTCCTTGCCTCTCAACTGACCCATGAGACATTGCACTAAGAGAGTACTGTGATGATGCACTGTGAACAATGGGACTTAAATGTCCATTCTGTACAGGAAGTCATGTACTGGAAAATGCATCCTTGCCTTTTGGAAAGTGGGCAAAAGGACTTCTTTGTAGTCAACCTGAAGGAGCCAGTGCCACAGTCTGTCCTACGGGTAATGGGACGAGGAGACTATGTATAATTATTTGTTTTGTTAAACTACAGTCTGTGTTTGGGCCTAGGTGAAAATAGCGGGTCTCTCCTTATAGGTGTCATCTGTTCTCTTGCAGGTGAGCAAGTACCTCATGATGGCTGTGGAATAACATGCTAGTTTTCATAAGATGTCTTAGTCAATTCCTCTTCAGCAACAGGGATAATTGCTGCAGATATTACAGTAGCTGTCATTCCTGCTGGGAATCAGCTGCAGTTTGTTGCACAAAGCCACTTTGCCAAGCTATTTTCTTATCTCTCTGTTATTCCCAGAGCTCAGAATAGGAGTCTTTATTTTTACATTAAACCTGATACTGAATTTTGTATTTGGAGGGCAAAGGATCCAGTACTTCATTAAGAGACGTCATATTTTCTGTTGGGCTTTATAAGGGGACAATGTGTGTCTCCCTTGGAGAGAGCTTACATAAGCAGGGGAAATGATGTTAGACATCCCTGAGAGGTGTGGTTTGGGACTTGCATAATAGTAGGAAAGAGAAGAAGGATGTCAGTGTGGTGCCTTCAGCAGGTTTGCAGTTATTCCCATCTTTTATTTCTTTCAAGGGCCTGGATCCTAACAACTGCCTGTTCAGACCTAATCTTGCCATCTTCAGTTCTTCAACTTCTTCCTCTCCTTGTTAGTCCACCTGTCTCCCCAACCCATCCATGTTTCTAAACACAAATAAACCATTTCTGAAATGATTGTGTTTAACTGGTATGGCATACAGAACCAGTGTGGTGTAGTAGTTAAGAGTGCTGGACTTGAACTGAGGAGATCTGGTTTCTACTCTGCATTCAGCTATGAAGCCCACTGAGGATAAAATGGAGAAGAGGAGAAACTTGTAAGCTTCCTTGGGTTCCTTGTGAAAGGAAGAAAAGTGGGATATAAATGCAATATATAATTAACCAAGCTTGGGAACAGTTATTCTCAGAAGAAGACAAGATCACTTGCTGTATGATTCCTTCTAGATCTCTCAGTTGCTCTCATTTGTGTTCATTTATCATTTTCTACAGGTGCCTTTTCATTTTGCAGAACAGTTCTAACATAAATTTGTAAGAAGCTGAAGTTTCAAATATGCCTGGAAGTCTTTATCTGTGCAGCAGAAAAACATATTTTATACTTGCACTGATTATGATTGACCTTACATTTCCTGCATTCTTGAAAAATAATTTTTTCAAGCTAGCTGTAGTAAATGCTGTTTGCCCCTGAGTAAGGGGAGGATGTTTATTTGAATGCATCTCATGCTTTACCACTTCGTGTAAACTTGTCTATATATGTTTTCCGTGACTGTTCCATTCTATTTCAAGGATCTCTCCCTACTCTACTCTTTGCAAACAAGGTTGGGAAGACTAATGTTTCACCTGAACGCACAGCTTCCCAATGCAAAGACGTCTCGCCTTTACAGCTGCCTGATTCTCTGTTTTCTGAGTCTTTATTTAGCTGTAGAACTCTCCTTGGACTCTAGGAAGTGCTGTAAAACTGTGACCCCTTTCTTGATGCAAAGAGCAGGTTGTTCAGCTACTTGGCTGGCTGGCTGGCTGGCTCTAGAGATAAGATGACATGAGCCAGGTTTCTGGTTGGGAGATGCTTCTAGCCCTGTCTATGCCTCTTTTTCTATTAGCCATGATATTTCTAAGGCATAAATTTTGGAACAGCCCTTCTTTTTATTGCATATAATCTTTACAAGGTTGGACTCCAAGCTGCAGAATTGAGATAAAGCTCCATAGTATATAAAAGACAGGTTACTACATAAATTGTCCCTGTGGAGTTTTGCCATATGTACTGTTTCCCAGACAATGCTTACGCAGGTGGCTCTATTTTACAAAACAAACCAGATCTCCTAACTAGCCATTGAAAGACTTTTACAATCCCACTAGCTCCCAAACCATCCTTTATGTGTTTGTCAAAGGAAGAGGCTACCTTCCTTGTTTCTCAGATTTGAGAAAACAAAATAGTGGTATATGCATGATTATTGTCATATTAGTGTAGCCAGCAAGTTCTATGCTCATTTCACAGCACACAGATGCAAACTGTGCTGCAGCAGTGAAGGTACTTTCTCAGGAGAAGGGGGGAAAAAGGAAGCTTAACCCTCTCCTAGCAGCCATTTTTCTACTGCAGCTCCTCACCACTGGACTTTTCAGTGGCAGCACTCAAGCTATGGAATTTTGTCCTATGGAAAGCTTGGTTAGACCCACCTCTGATTCTATTTAGGTGGATCACAAGAACATTTTTATTCTGATTAAGCTGTAAGGTAAAGGTTTCCCCTTGACGTTAAGTCCAGTCATGTCTGACTCTAGGGGATAGTGCTCATTTTCGTTTCCTAGCCAAAGGAGCCAGCATTTGTCTGCAGACAGTCTCCGTGGTCATGTGGCCGGCATTACTAAACACCTAAGTGCACGGAACGCTGTTACCTTGCCACTGAGGTGGTACCTTTTTATCTACTTGCATTTGCATGCTTTCGAGCTGCAAGGTTGGCAGGAGCTGGGATGGAGCAATGGGAACTCACCCCATTGTGCAGATTCGAACTGGTGACCTTTCGATCAACCAGCACAGCGGTTTAAACCACTGCACCACCTGTATCCCTTTGATTAAGCTGTAACTGTCTTTAATTTGAGATCGAAGCCTAGTTTTAATATTTTGCTTTAATTCTTCTACTATTTGTCTTGTGATCCTTTGTTATGTAAACTGCCTTAGGCCCCATTTTAGGACCAAAGTGTGGAAACATTTAGGTGGATAGGTAAAGCTGGGAAAAAGAGTTGTGGGGAAAGTAATTGGCAAGAGAATATTTCAGTGCTCTCTCCCTTCTTGTCCCTTCTCAGGTGCAAGTTCCACTATGCCAGGACGCTTAGCAAAGGTGGAAGCCTTAGCACACATGGCAAAAATATGACACAGTTGGGAGCTTAACCTCATTCTGATCAGAGTCCAAGAAATGAGTAGCATCCGATAGCAGGTGGCCTCTGAAATACCTCTGAGAACAGAAAAATGGCCAGCTGCTATAAACCATGTAGCTGTTTTTTCAAGGGCCAGTAATGTGTATGTCTAATAATTCTTATTATAGTACTTTTCCTAAGCATTGTTTAGCATTCCCATACCACCACAGCAATCCTGATACCATCAGGTCATGCAGTATTATTATCTTCATATTATACTCTAGGAGGTGAACCTGAGAGATGCTGTTATGTTCATAGCTGTCTGTGAGTAACTTACTTGAACTGAAGACTTGCTATTTCATCCAAACCTTTGAACACTACACTACATCAGTGTGGCTTATTGACTATTATATGCAACAGGAACAACTGAAAAATGCAATAGGGAGCTGGGTTTTTTCATAATGCCACCACATATTCCCATGAGTAAAGTATGCAGCATAGAACTCCACTTGTGTACTTTACAAGCAAGCAGAGGGGCTGAGCAGATTTACTTATTTATTAGATTTATATCCCACTTTTTCCCCAGTAAACTCAAAGAAGCTTATATTATTCTGCTCCTTCTGTCTTATCCCCACAATAAACACCTTGTGAGGTACTTTGGACTGAGGATCTGTGACTGGCCCAAAGTCACCCTGCTAGGTCCATGGCTGAGCAGAGGCTAGAACGCAGATCACCTGAGTCCTGGACCCACACTCTTAACCACTACACCATGCTGGCTCTAGGTCTCATGTGGCTTGTAGATCTCAAATGGTCTGAATAAGCACATGCATCATCCCATGAAAAGGTTTTTATAGCCTAGCACTCTTGTTCAAAGGTTTCTCATCTGGCCCATTTTTGTTTTCTGTCAGTTGTCCCTGGCCAACTTCAGTGGATACAAAGTCCAGGATGGAGAACATGGTATGCATCACCTTCCTCCTGAAAAAAACTTTGCTTTAGCTCTCTGTGGACACTCAATCATAACTCCAGAGAGAAGATGGGGACATGTGCTCCAGCCCTATGCCTTCCTCCCAACTCACCCCCCCAAAGAGAAGAAGTAACTGCAGTTGACTGAACACAGTTGCATGCAGTTACAGTGCAGCACACTTTCAGGATCCCTGAGTGCATACACAGTCTGAGCATACAGAAACTAACTGCATTCAGCTGAAACACGCTCATAACCCTCCTGGCAGGCATGAAATACACTGAAGGGTCAGCACTGAAGCTTAAGAGTATTAAACAAATGGTCAAGGATCATCTAATTGGGTTGAATGAGTTCAACTCTCCAGGGCCCGATGAACTTCATCTTAGAGTCATAAAGGAGTGGGAAGAAGAATTCTCAGAACCACTGTCCATTATTTTTGAGAACTCATGGAGGGTGGGAGAAGTGCCATATGACTAGAGGAGAGCTAATGTTGTTCCTGTGTTGAAAAAAGAGGATCCCGAGAACTACAGACCAGTTAGTTTCCCAATACCTGGAAAAATTCTGGAGCAGTTGGTCTGTAAGAGTGCAGGACAGAGAATAATGCACTTATGTTACAGGAAGCCAGATTCTGGCTAGACATCTGGAAAAACTTCCTGACTGTTAAAGCATCAGCAATGGAACCAATTACCTTGGAAAATTATGGGCTCTCCCACACTGGAGGGAGTTGGACAGCCATCTGTCAGGCATGCTTTAACTGGGAGTTCTGCATTAAGTAGGGAGTTGGACTCGAAGGCCTTATGGGTCCCTTCCAACTCTAGTATTTTATGATTCATTCATTCTTCCTGAATGCAGAAAACTCTGTAACTCTGTTCAGGTGAATATAGTTAT